GTAAACTAACCTACTATTTAAATATCAGATAGGTTGAATATTTTTGATAAAAATATTCAGGTAATTCATTGATTTGTCTAATTTGGTTAAAAATAGTATTTTAGGTTATTTAGTGTTTAGATATTATATATAATTAATATTTTTAGGTATATAATTTCTATATAAAAAATTTAAATACCTATTTGGTTTCTCGGTTTGAATTCTATTTTTAGATTCTAGAGATATATGATATGATCGATTATTTATGAAATTTGGTTTAATTTAACTTCGTTTTTTTTTTAATTTAAAAAATTAAGTAGCCATTTGTGCATAATCAAAAAATAGAATCCACGCTTCTCAATGGGTTAATAACAATCTTTTGATTTTAAGATCTTTTTACCATATTCATTTTATTAATTTTACAAGATTGAAATAAAATAATAGAACATCAAGCCTCTCATTTTATAAATACAAGGTATCTCGAACCCATTTTACCATCAACTCAATCAAATTTAAAAACACCATCAAAACCAATCAAAATATCTATTCCGAAATATTTGGCTTTACGGTTAACAAAAAAAAACCCGCGCTTCTTAAGCGCGGGTCAAAATCTAGTTTATAGTTATCATGCACCCGTTTTAGACCATTACGCAAGACTACTAGTCGACATGACAGAATATATCCTTCTTCTCCAAATGTATATATTTTTTATGCAAACGTTAAAAATGATGTTTTTATATAAAAAGATATTACAAGAGTCAAGACAATCCTAAAATATATGGTCGAGAATTTTTTCAGTTAAACTTTGAATACGGAATCTTCAAAATGTATAATAGTGTTTGAAAGAGTAAGAACAAAACATGAAAAATTAAACGAATAAAGCTTCCTGAAACTGGCAAAATAAAAGTAGAGAATAAAACACCATTTTAGAGATCTAACTAATTAGTCATTTTCGAATTATTTATTATAATTATCATTCATTTTCTGGTCACGTGGTGACATTATCCTTCATTAATATAACTGACAAACATTTATCCAAGATAACTATATAATTTTCATTCACATACACCAACTTGACAATACTTAAAGTGGAACTACAGTGATCAGAACACGTAAACAGCTTTCAACACAGTGTCTTGTTTCTTTATTTATACCCTAATCTTATTCACAAACTAGCAACAACACAAGAAAAACAAAAAAACAAAAAGATGGTGTCCTTAACATCATCATCTTCTTCAACACCAAAAATATCTTTTGATTTAACAAAAAACAACATCAGTACCAGTCTCAATGTCCCCGTCTCTTCTTTTTCTTGTGATTCTTCTTACTTGAGAACCAAGGAAGAAGCTGTCGTCACAACCAAGAAACCAATGGAACTCTGCAAAACCCTAAACATAAACATCAATCCAAAAGGTGATCCAGAGCTTGTAGACGAGAAGAAAATGGTGAAGAAAGCTCCTGAAGATGCAGAGATTGGTGTGTTTGGGGCTGAGAAGTACTTCAATGGAGACATGGATTCAGACAAGAGTTCTAGTGTTCTGTCTCTGACAAATCCAGAAGCTGAGAGATTCGTTGATGATCTGAAGCAGAGCGAGAAGAAATCTACTGGAGCGCCCAGTGTCCGCTCTGAATCAAGCTGGAATAGTCAGAGCATGTTGCTTCAGAACAAATCGGTGAATAGCTGTAACGGTTCCTTGCAGGAGAAGAAACCCAATAGTGGTCAGATTCAAAAGGTGAACAACAGTAAGAAGAGTTTTCTTTCGAATCTTGGATGCAAATGTGTGTGTTCCGATGGGATCTCAGTAGATGTTGATGATAAGAACTTGGTCAAAAGAAGCTCTGATCTGATCAAGATTCAAAAGCAAGAAGAGTTGGTGCAGAGGAAGTCTCTTGAAGTTGCTCAAAAGAAACTCACATTGCCTCAATGGGAATCAAGAACAGAGGTAGAAGAAGACACAAAGAGTGAAGGAAGTGATACAAGCTCTGATCTCTTCGAGATAGATAATCTTACAGGGAAACCTAAACCTTTTCTTGAAAGGCAAGTAAATGATTCGATTTCAAGGCAAGGAAGTGATTCAATTTCTTCTACATGTTATGCTCCAAGTGAAGTAAGCATAGAGTGGAGCATAGTAACTGCGAGTGCTGCTGATTTTTCTGTGATGTCAGAATGTGCAACAAGCCCTTTTGGAAGAAACAGGTTTCTTCAGATCCCTCCTCGGATCCCTACTAGAACTTCGCCGCAGAGACTGAAACCTAATAGCAGTGGAAGTGGTGGTTTCTTGAGTTGCAAGAGTCATAAGTCTGTTATGGTTTATGGTGATTCAGACAGAAGAGGTAGTATGAACAAGACATCATCAAGTTATGTTCCGAGACATCTCCAAGTTATGGAGACTACTACAAAACGTAATAGTTTTGAAACAAGAAGAAGGATCAGCAACAGCTCACCATCACCTCTTCTATATAGTCAGTACTGATTATATAATGTCTTGTTAAGTTATTTTTTTTTATCACTACTTCATCTTCCACACGAAAATAAAGTCGATCATTAAGGGTTTCTTAGAGATATCTCTTGCATCTAAACACAGATCCTTAATGCAGCAAAATGGTTAAGACAAATATCAAGAACTGGCTCCACCACGTTTTGTGGTTTTTGGATTTGGTCTGAAGAATAGAGATTAAAGTTATGTCTTAGCTTCAAAGGGGTTAAATCAGTTGACACAAAGAGCTATTAATGAGGAAACTTAAATAATGAAAATGTTTTTTCAGTTAACATATCTAAGATCTTGGTCCTGAAGGCCATGTGTGTCTGAGATAAAGACAAGAACCTTAACTGCTTCGTTGAAAATAAGTATCAAGTGATGTCTGATGTGAAAGAAACAAGAACCAAAGGGCCTTACTAATTAAGAGAATAAATACAAAAAAAATGATGTATGTCTTGTCTTTGTAGCCAACTCATGAAGGGAGAAGACTGAACTTAACCAAAGTGATCTTGTCCACACTCCATTTGAACCTTCGCTTGAGTTAACTCAAGAAGGCTTTAATTAGATGTCAATAAACTACATTGATGAAAAAGATGACACTAAAGCAAATACAGTATATGGGTTTGATTAAAACCAAGAGTCTGTACAGATCTTGATGTAGATAATTAAGTATTGTACCCTTCTCAAGATATGGGGAAATAACTTATTTTCCTATGATATATTGAAGGAAAGTTTATAATCAAATCAATATTTAACTAGTCAGTCTCCTTATGTGGAGGAGAAAATAACAACAAAAGCAAAAAGATATTTGTGATAAGAAGGCAAAACAAAACAAATTACTCATCTTTGATTGGCCATGTTTCAAAAAGCGCCCAAAGGGTGTCTGAAAGTCTAATTTACTTTAGTGTTTGTGGTGAAACATTCCACTGTCTTTGATGTGAAAGGTGTTCACAAAGAAACACATGAGAAAAAGGAGAGTCTTGTGTGGTCACTATCTGCATCGGTTCAGGAAATGATGATCTGTATACACTACAACAAAACGGTACTAGTTATGTTAGTTACTGGGATCTTCTATAGGGGGAGGAAATAAATATCATATGCTAAATAAAAGAATTTAATGTGTATCACAACATGAGAGCAAAAATAAACATTTAAAGGAACGTTCACAAGCTCATCACAAAGGTAAAGGATCCCATTGCTCTGATTTTCAGATATGCTTCAAACGTTCAAGTGCCCACTAGGGAAACTAGTTAACTCCTACAGCAAATATGTAATTCTGAAATTGGCATATCTAAGACATATCTAAGGTTTTCATCGGCATCTCAAACACATAAACATATTCTTTTGGGAACCAAACCTGCAATGCTGTTTCAGTCTAGTATCCAGACAAGACAATGATTGGTTAGTAAAAGTTTAACTTAATTGTTGGTGGGTTGAGCCAGCCCTTGCAGTAGTGCAAGACAAAGGCGACTCTTAAAGATCCAGATAGCAAGCTATCTTCATGGACCTTCTCCCTCAAAAAATAGAGTTAATATCGTGTGGTCCGATGGACCACATATCAGATATTAAACTGATAAGAACAGATACTACACTTGATCTTAGCCAAAAGGCCGAGAAAGGTATGACTTGATTGGGCCATTGACCTTCCATTATATACACAAGCTCTAAGACTTAACGATTCATATTTTAGCGATGTGGGACAAATTACTAAACCTTCTTTTTTTCTTAACCCTCGACAAATACATGGAAAAGAACATTGAATACACTCTCTCTAGCCACCAGTTCTAAGGTCTTTCCATGGTGATGGTGGTGAGCTAGAACTCTTCCACATGAGCTATTGTATTAACTTTATTTTGATCAACTGTAGCTTACGTGAAAAGTCATATTGTAACGTCACCGGAGCTTGAGATAGGTTTAAAACATATCCAAACATCGAAAAACCACCTGAAAATTCACTGTGTTTTTGTCAATGGGTTTCATCAAGATACTGTATTTGATTTGAGCAGAACTGTGTCGCATCTGTGTCTTCTTGCACTTTTGTTTTTCTTATAGAAGACTTGCGAGCAAAAAATTTTATACTTATCCTTTAGTAGATATATTAGCTAGTGCATTACATTGCTCTTGAGGGAGAATATATATTTGTCACAGTTAGTAGATGCTAATTATGATTATCATTTGGCAGAGACTATGTGGTGAGGCCGCATCGTTCATGTGGAGCTCTCATGTGCTTGCTTGTTTTGTCTTAGCTTCAAAGAGGTTAAATCAAACTTATAAGAGGTTGTCACAAGGAGCTATTAACAAGAAGACCTAAATAATGTACACGTCACTTCACCGAACGTATATAAGATCCATGTGTGTCTGAGATAAAAACAAGAACCTTAACTGTTCCGTTAAAAATATGTATGAAGTTATGTGAAAGAAAATATCAAGAACCAAAGGGCCTTGCTAATTAAGAGAATAAATACAAAAATGATGTTTGTCTTTGTAGTCAACTCGTAATGGGAAAAAGACTGAACTTCCCTAAACTGACCTACTTAGGTGTCAGGAAACTGCACTGATAAAAACCATCACTTAGTTTCCTACAAAATATTGAACTAGAGCTTAAAGTTAAATCAAGAACTAACTAATCAGTCTCCATATGTGGAGGAGAAAGAACAACAAAAGCAAAAGGACATTTGTGTTAATGAGGCAAAACAAAACAAATTGCTCATCGTTGGTTGGCAATACGTCAAAGCGGCCAAATGGTGTCTGAAGGAAGTTCTTATTTACTTTCTTCCTTCAGAGTTTGTGGTGAAACATTCCACTGTGGTTGATGTGAAAGTTGTTCCCAAAGAGTCACATGAGAAAGAAAAGAGTCTTGTGTGGTCGTTAGCTATCTGAATCCGTTTGGAAACTGATGATGTGTATAGTTGTCTGTTAGTTACTGAGATCGTACATAGAGAGAAGCAAAATAAATATCATATGTTGTAAAGAACTTGAACATCAAATCTCTTTATGGCACCCCCATGTGTATCATATGGTTTACATAATGCTTCTAATGTTCAAGTCCCCAAGTGAAGCTCGTTAACTCCCAGCAAGTATGTAATTCTGAAATTGGCATCACTAACAGCATGTGACAGAACATATCAAACGTATGTTTTCATCGGCATCTCAAACGCATAACATATTATTTTGGAACCAAATATGCAATGGATTACAACTTAGCTTACAGAGAAAATCAACCCAAGCTGAGACAAAGATACTAACATATGCTTTCCGGATATAATAAACAGTGATGATTGGTTTCTATTCTAACTAAAAGTTGAACTTTATTGTTGGTGGGTTGAGTCAGCCCATGCAGTAGTGCAAGACAAAAGCAACTCTTGAAAACCCAGATAGCAAGCTATCTTAATGGGCTTTCACCCTTAAAAAATAGAGTTAATATCGTATGGGCCGATGACCCATATATCAGATATTAAAACTGATAAGAACAGATACTACACTTGATCTTAGCCAAAAGGCCGAGAAAGGTATGAATTGGTTGATCCATCAAGCTTCCTTTATATACACTTCCTCCAAGAGTGAACGCTTCATATGTTAACGATGTGGGACAAATAACCAAACCTTCTTTTTTCTTAAGCCTCGTCAAATTAACTGCAACTAGCAAGAAGAAACTCATCATAAAGAACATTGTCTACACTCCCTCTCATTACTAGTTTCCGGTCTTTCCAAGGTGGTGAGCTAAAGATCTTCCACAGGAACTATTGTAATTAACACCATGTTGATCAAGTGCAGCTTACATAAAAACTCATATGTTCACGTAATCAGAGCTTGACATATCCAACACTGTAAAATATTTTACTAGTTTCAGTGAATGCTAGCGTTTGTTTATTGATCTAAGCTAACTTGTTTATATATGTTTATTGATTTTCCTTGTGAACTTGCACTTGGTAAATCTGTTAATCATGTGAGCAACTTACCTCTCACACTGCCTGTTTCCTTCTTCTAAGCTAAGTGAGGTTAGTTGGCTAGTACTATCTCAAGGTTTGATATGCTTGAATCAATAACACAATCTTCTTTATGAATCCTCGCTTTGATTAACGATTTTGGTTTAGATCAGTAGAAGAATACAACGAAGAGGGAAACAGGTGGTGTGAACATTGTTAAAGACTCCATAACCCCAATAACACTCAAGATTCACCAAACTCAATTGTTTCTCACTTTTGTTCCTACATAGATAGGAGAGAGGTTGCATACTTGGTGAATTGATAAGGATAGTTATGCCTTCAATGGAGAGCATAACTATGACTCACATGGTAGCTAGGCCTGCAAAAAAAAAAAAAAAAATTTTCCTTGGTTGGTCATGCTTCAAATCGTCCACTAGCTTTCTTCCTCAAGTGAATAAGGTAAGTAGGTACGGATAATCTGAACCCAACATGACAAAAGATGTCTCAGAGAAGGTTAACTAGAATACTAGCTATAGGTTAAATTCTGATATCTTCTATAGGGAGTAGAAAATAAAGATCACAAGCTCATCATAAAAGTAGGAATCTCAAAAATCCCCAAGTGAAATCCGTGAACTTACTACCAGCAAGTATATAATTCTGAAATTTGGCATCTCTAGCAGCATGGAACAAGACATATCTAACGTATGTTCTGTTCTCATCGCCATCTCAAACACAATAACAATGCAAAGCTGATTCAGTATAGGATCCAGACAACTTATATAGCCTGCAGAGACAATCAAGCCAAACTGAAACAGAATTGTTTTAACTAAGAGTTTAACTTTATTGTTGGTGGGTTGAGCCAGCCTATGCAGTAGTGCAAGACAAAGGCGACTCTTGAAAACCCAGATAGCAAGGGGTTTTCTCCCTCAAAAAATAGAGTTAATATCATGTGGTCCGATGGACCACATATCAGATATTAAACTGATAAGAACAGATACTACACTTGATCTTAGCCAAAAGGCCGAGAAAGGTATGAATTGTATGAACCATCAAGCTTCCTTTATATACACAAGCTTCCAGAGTGAACAGTTCATAGTTTAGCGATGTGGGACAAATAACCAAATCTTTTCTTTTTTGTTAAGCCTCGGCCAAATAGGAGTTTTTTAATTAATGAGTTAATTAGCAGCAATAGAACAGACACATCGTAAAGAACGTTGAAGATAGTCCCTCTCGCCACCAGTTCGAAGATCTTTCCATGGTGGTGACTGGTGAGCTAGATTTCTTCCACACTGAGCTATTGCATGAACTTTATTAGTTTATTTTGATCA